CCTTGGAATGATTCGAATAAATCCCGAATCTCCCTGTCACTTCGCGCGATGGAGCCGCTAGAATCTCTCCCATGCGTGGGCCTGAGCTTTGTTGTGATTCTCGGCGTGCCGAGATGTACTGAAATTTCCCAATTATGATCGTCAATATTATCGAAACTGAAAAAACATTTTAGCACCTAGACATTGTTTGGTCATATAGTAGTTAAGGAATCTAATGAAACATCACATATTTTCTAAATAAACCAAATAAACCGAGTTTTACGAATATGCTACATACATGCTACATACTTACATAGTAAGTTTTTTCATCTTTTCACGGTGTATGATTTACCTTTTCATCATTACATGCTACATACATTAGCCACCAATGTTTTGGTTACTCGTTACTCGTGCCAGTCTTCTTGAGCCGAATTCTTGTAACAAGAAATTAATGGCGGACGAAAATAAATCGTAAAATTTTGGCCCTTTCCTTTCGAATATCAGAAAGATATTTCAGTGAGTGGTTCTTAATGTATTCAAGATTATTTCAGCAAAAAACCAGCTCGAATGAAAGAGTTTTAATTTTGGAGCGATTTTCGTCCAAGTAGCACTTTAAGCCAAAACAAATATCTGTGACGATGGTACATGCTGAACACGTCACGCCCATGGAAGGGGAAATCAGGTTGAAATGGAAGACGATTTATCAAAGGAACTGTTGAATATGTGAACGGACAACCAGAGGAAATAAGGAAGAGTAGCAGAGGGACCAAACGTCGTAAAAAGTCTTGCAAAGGCATTGACGAAAGTACATGAGGGACCATGAGCGGTAGCGTATGTCAGTAATAAAGAAATATGAAGTAAACGTCTCTTTTTTCTCGTACTCTTGGTTTATTTCTTCTTTCCGTATTTTTGGTTGAAGCCACACGCGACATGGCGTCAACATATGAGTTAATCAAATCGTTGTTCACACTTCATGATGAATAGTTTTATGGGCTCGTGTGAAAATTGAATAATTAAAAGAACAACCATCAGCCGAGCTTTGGTAAACTGCTTGATTATTTGCCGCAATACTCTTCCTGCTGTGGGTGCAATTACACTAAGGATAAAGCTGAAAACTAGAAGGAAGCAAACCTCCGATGGATAAGAACGATAAAGGTATTTAAAATCAAGAGCTGAACAATTGATAAATACCCAAGTTTGCATTTGTAACAACAAATATTTTAATCTCGGTATTTTATACTACGGGTCCATCACATGCACAAAGACGTGTACGAATAACTGAACCAGAAAAAGCATTGGTTCTTCAGTGTTATGAAGAAAAAAGCGGAGAAAGTTGGTAAAATGTTCTTCAACATGTTAAGAGGAATATTGAATCGCTTCCATTGTCTTCTCCAGTTGTAAAGTTTTATCTTGAACAAGAGAGTCAGCAAGCAATTAATCGTATTCGCCGTATCGTAAGAAGTCAACTTAAAGCTGCTAGCGAATCTTCTATTCCTGTGTCAGGACCTATGTCGGAGATTCTGGCATCAAAAATGAGGTATGCGAAAAAGGTGAGCCCGGAAGATCGGTGGATGACCAAGTTGAGTCATATGTCTACTGATATCAGTGGTGAATCAAGCTTAAATGAGGAAAGCGATGTACAGGAAGTCGTGAAGAAAGCTGAGAGCGAAAGTCCAAAAGAAAAGCAAAAACGATTTAAAGGGAAAGGAAAACGAAAGGCTGAAGATGCACATGTGGCAATGTGTAATAAGGCAATGGCTACTTTGGATAAGATGAACAAGCTTCAGGACAAATATGCCGCAGACAGTTCGAGTTCAAGTGAATGACAATAGCCGATTGCGTATATCTAAGTCAGGCAATCCTGACGTTATATTAAAATGTTAATGTTCTTTAGATAATTGGATAAGCCGATATCCAAGAGAAGTTTACTTTTGCCCACATTTACACACACTTACA